CCGGAGGCCCCCCGTGGGAGGCGGCGCCCTCCTCCCCGACACCCCGGCGCCGCGACCCTGTCACAGCGTGGGCCCCCGAGGCCTCCCGCCTCGATCCCTTCCCTGGGGCCGGCGCTCCACTCTGAGCCTCTCTGTTGACGGGCCTGGGGCCCGGCCAGGGGGCCGCGGGAGGCCGAAGCCGCCAGAAACGGTCCGTCACTGCTGTCTCGTGGTGCAAGTTCGGTGGCAAGTCGTGGGAGCCTCCCACACCATCTCGTCGGATCCTGCGAATCGACGCTGATCGACGCGAGTCGACGCTAAACGACGCTAATCGACGCTAACTGACGCGAAATCGGCGCTATCTCATCGAGCCCCAGACGCTAATCGACGCTGATCGACGCTAAAGACGGAATTTAGAGGGTACACCCTGCGAAATGCTTTAGAAATCATGGGTTAAGAAATTGATAGTCTGAGAATTCAAATAAAAACCCAGAATGCCCATTCAAATCTTAGGACTTACATTGAAACATTAAGAATAATCGAGACTCTGGCCGAAAACTTAGGTTTTCTTAAGCATCGCCTAAGGTGTATACCAGGCTCCCATGATTTGCTGCCGAATGCAAGGGGAGCTGGGCCCCTGGGTCAAAGGTCAGCCCCTGGGTCCCTCCTGGAGGGCGCCCTGGCTGGAGTTCTCGAGGCGACTGCAGCCGTGGCGCACGAGGACGCTGCAGGAGACCCAAAGAAGCCCCACAAGCCATGACTGGCCCTCAGATGGAGGCCTCTTGTATTGACTACCTACCAGACCACCCCAACCCAACCCGAAGACCCGAATTTGACCCGAATTTCGGGTTGGGGGGGGTACGGGTTCCATGTGTTTTTGTCAACGTTCCCCGACCCCCCCCACTGGAAATGGAGGGCAAATTGAGGCCTTCGGGTTGGGTTGGGGTGGTTTGGTAGGTGGTGATGTATGGGGCCAGAAGTGGTTCGGCAATCGCACCGCGTTGCCGATGCATTGGCGATGCATCGGAGGCGTCGGGATGGAGAACGTCGAGCTCTGGATCTCGCCGCATCGGCGGTGCATCGGCGATGCGGCGCGATCCTCAGACCAAACGCACTCCAGCCACGCTTGGGAGGCTCAGAGAAACGGACCCTGGAAACGGGTCCTGAGGGAAACGGGTCCTGGACCCTGAAGGCTTCCCGCAGGACCAGTTCTTCGCCACAAGTCTTTTAGCGGCGTCCCCAAAGCCCAGAAACTGTGAAAAGCCTCCAGAGCCATTTTCTACCAGCACACCCCGCTCAAAAAAAACAGCAGGAACTGCCGTCCCCGTTTTCTGGGAGACCTGGGGAAGCGCTGTCCCGGAGACGAGTTCCGCGGGAATGCGGGGCTCTCCCCTGGGACCAATTCTTCGCCCAAACAGCCGTCCTCGTCCCGCGACTCCCGCAGCAGCGCCTCGGCCAGCTGCTCGCGCTGCGCGGAGGACGCCACGGCCACCGCCTGGCGGGGGGTCTTCGGCGGCCATCGGGCGACCGTCGGGGGCCTTCGGCGGCCCTCTGGCTGCCTTCGGGTGCCCTGGGAGGTTTCTCGATCGCGCGCCGTTGAACTCATCCTCCTCCTCCTCCTCCTCATCATCCTCCTCCTCCTCCCATCACCATCATAATCACCACCACCATCACCATCACCATCACCATCACCATCACCATCACCATCATCATCATCATCATCATCATCATCATCATCATCATCATCATCATCATCATCATCATCATCATCATCATCATCATCAGCATCAGCATCAGCATCATCATTATCATCAGCAGCATCATCATCATCAACATCATCATCATCCTCATCATCATCATCACCGCCACCACCACCATCATCATCATCATCATTATCATCATCATCGTCATCATCATTATCATCGTCGTCAGCATCATCACCATCATCACCATCATCATCAGAATATGCATCACCATCGGCATCATCACCACCACAACCACCACAATCATCATTATCATCATCACCACCATCATCATCATCAGCAGCAGCAGCATCAGTATCATCAGCAACAGCATCATCATTATCATCACCATCATCATGAGCAGCATCATCATCATTACAACCACCACGACTACCGCCACCACCACCACAACCACCATCATCATCATCATCAGCATCATCAGCATCATCATGCCTCCTCCTCCTCATCATCTCCCCTCCTCCTCCTCAACATCAGAATCATAATCAGCATCATCATCAGCATAATCATCATCAGGAACATCAGCATCACCATAATCATCAGCGTCAGCATCATCATATGTTTGACGTCGGACGAACTTGAGCGTCATGACTGTAGCGCTCGTGTGAAAATGCGTATCGACTTAGAACACGAGGCCAACAAATGACCCCTGAAGGGCGCAATACAAAGCAGGAAAGGCGCAAGAGGCAAAGAAGAAGAAGGCGGGCCAACAAGGACACATAATATACGCCAGCCAGGCCGTGTAAGAGTGAGATAGGAGA